ATATGTCAGTATTTGTTTGCTTTTTTTCATCTGCATTTATCAAATGCCGCTCAAGAGGTTTTACCGTGAAGTGGTATACAAACAATGCCTCTTTAAGAGGAAAGTGAATCAACTTTTTTTTTTAATTTTATTTTTTTTTTTTTTGTCTGCATTTATCAAATGCCTCTCACAAGAGGTTTTACTGTGAAGTGGTATACAAACAATGCCTCTCTAAAAGGAAAGTGAACCAACTTTTTTTTTTTTTCTCTCTTCATCTGGGCATAAGTTAACACTAGAAGCGGAACCTGTCATAAAAGTTCACCTGAAGGGTAGAAAAAGAGATTTCACATCATTGGTGGTGTTTATTAAGTACTGGCAATAGGAAGCATTTCATTTACCAAAGCCCCATTTCTTACAGATTTGTCTCACTCCTTTTGGGCATGAAGGAACAGAAACTCAGAAGTATAATGCAATCTCTTCTCCATCAGTTTACAGAAAAATTTTAAGAAATTTCTTATATTTGTGTCTTTTTTGACTTGCATTTGACAGAGGGAGAAGAGTCAGCCAGGTTTAAGGGTGTAGCAGAAACAGTAATATGGACACAAAAACTGTTCGCTTTGCCAATAAAATGGAAATATCCCAAAATGCTTTCACTTTTTCCACCATTTTTCAAGTTAGATATTGAAAAATACCTTCGTTTTTTGCCAGAATACTCTATAGTACACCTCTAATTGCCCTTTTGATATTCAGTTTAAGTCTATACTGAAAAGCAGAAGAATGATAGTTTTTCAGTTAAATCCAGAAGCAATTAAGCAGATTTTTATCCTTAAAGAATGAATTAATATTTTGCTATAAACTGTTAGGAATCTGGATTCTATTCCTACATAGTATTACAGCCATTCTATTAATTCACAAGGATGAATTACTATTCTATTTTTGTATAAGTATTTTTAGAAATTGATAAAAGCGCTCGGAAAACCTGCAAGGGTTATTCCCTGCCAAGCACTGTGAAGCTTACCCTTTTGAGATGAATTGTTTTTAATGTCACTGCACATTCTGATAAAGCCTGTAATATAAAGCAGAACATTAGACTATTCAATTAGCCTTTTGGTTAATTGTTTAAATCCCAGGAAGCTAACAAGGCCCAAAACAGAGGCTAGCTCAAAACCATTACCACTGTCCTCTCCCTCACAAAATGCTAGCTAAGCTTCAACCATTACTTCCAGTTTTTGCTCCACTCTATCCAGACCATTCTGGCACAGCTAAACACCCAAGAGGAACTACAGAACAGCCATCTGTATTTGTTTACTTTCACTGAAATTAATTCATAAGTAATACAGGTCAATGTTAAACAGTCAAGACTGCACTTCTCTAGCACGCCTTTAAACATAGATGAGACAGAGGACCCAGCACCATACTTCCAAAAATTAGCATCCTGGAATCCCCTTAAAAAATAAAAGCACTTTTGTTTCTGAGAGAAGCCAATGTTTGATACCAAGTGTGCATGTTATTTATCTATTCCATAGAAATGAAAGTAAAAAATCTGTAATACGCACCAATACTGTCTGGGCATCTGCCAAGTCAAACGTTTGCTTTAAAGGTGCTAAGAAACATGCGGGGACAATGTGTTTGTAGACAAAGTCTGCAAAACCCACTGGTCCATCTTTGCCTCCTGAAAAGACAAATAACATTCCATATTTTATTCTTGCTCATGATAAGCAACAGCTAGAAAGGAACTATTAAAAGACAGTCTTACCCCACAGCTCCACCAGCTTAGAAAGAATAATAAAGCAAGTCTTCTGTGCAATAGGATCTGGGTAATCCACTGCTCCTTGAATGACAGTGAACAACACACGCTCCACATTCTGGGCACCTAAAAGAGATTAAAATAAGCTTGGACATTTCTGGACTTTTACACTACTGTATATCAGAAAAAATAACACACTGGAATATGTTTCAACTTAAAAACAATATGCAAATATCATTTGATTATGCAAAAAAAAAAAAAGGCTCAAATATTTTTGGGAAGCTTCCCTCATGAAGCAAACTACTCTTAAGCTATAATCCATTCCATTTGACAATTTTAATATTTTGTTTTCTTTGCCAGTCATTAATACAAAGGTGAGGATCGCACTGACTTACATACCAATTTTTTTTTTTGTCTAAACCTGCCACACTTAATTCTCAGCAGTACTTAATTAGTTTACATGCCTACTAACATAATCCACAGGTATTGTTCTGTACTGTTTCCATACTTATTTCTGTTTAATTCCTTTGAATGTCTTAGCTGATCACAAATGCCTCCGATGCCCCTCTCAAGAATGCTCTTGCTACATTAACACTGCTCTTTCCTTTCCCACAGCTGTTGCCAAGCATTTTAAGGATAGAGGAAAGAGATCTGAGCTCCATCAGCTGAGTCAATTTAAAGCTTTTCAGATCCCTAGTCATTTTGACTGAATATAGATTAAAAGGATTACTTAGTAAAGAAGTAACTGAATAATTGACTGTGAATTCCTTATGAAAAGTTAGCCATGAAAATCAACAATTTCCATTTCAGCACTCATGATGGGGATAACCTGATAACTACATATTTAAAGAAGTCAAATGATGCCTTTTACTACAGATGACAAGACCTGGTGACAGTTGCAAAATAAATTATGGAAGAAATTACTGACATAATTATTTCAGAAGGTAAATAATACAGGGTGAGCTAAGAATACTAGCAGCTGTCAGTGGTCTTGTCCAACAATTTGAATATTCATGAAAGCTTTGAACATTGCTATCCATTTTGAAATACCTTTCTACAGGAATATTTTATGAGCGCTGATTTATAAATTAAATACAGTGTTGCATGCAACACTACTTCTCCTGACAAGTTGGAAAAACAAACAAACAAACAAAAAAAATCAAGACAGCCAAGAACCACTAAGAAGAATCCATCAATAACAGTTGGATTTTACAAACCCGAACACTTGAGTAAACAGAGAAAGTTAAATATAGTACTTAGTCTATCTACTCCATCTTAAAATAAGTAGCAGTTCTTTAAGGAACTAGGCTAATGATTTTAGCAGACAAATTGGTGGTTGCCTTAAATGAGCCCAGTTCATTGTCCCCAAGGATGGCAGTGTGGTCCCTACCTTGATTAGCTATGACCTCACTCATTCCGCTGCCGGTTACTGTCTGCAGAAAAGCAAAGTAGCTCCTCCGTAACATTTGTTTTTCTAAAGCAGCAGACTGGTCGTTTTCTTCTGCTGGAAGGAGCAACACTTCAAAGATAGCATGAAGTAGCGGCATAAACATCTGTTGCAGAAAAGGTGAAACCTGTGTCTGTGGAGATTGGAAGAAGGTATTAACTCAGTTACATCAACCATTTGGAAGTTAAAACTTACAGGTGCGTTATAGTCCTCAGCTTGATTCAGTTTTAAAATTAGTATTTTAATGTACCAACTATATGTAATAAAGCAAGTCAGATCAGGCATGTGACCACACCCGACTTCCATATCACCTAAAGTCTTTCATACAAAAATATCTAATTACTCATCTAGCCTCATCCTGTGTAGGAACAGAAGATTTTTCAGCACTCCTCATTCTTCTTTTGAGGCAAAGCATTATTTCAAATACTGAATTATTTCAAAATCCCTAAAATACAAAGATGGACTGTGGTAAAGTCATTCTAGTTATGAAAAATACACCTCGGAGATGCTAAAATTAACAGCAAGTCACTTTTTGCAGCACTTATATTTAAGGATTGTTTCAACAAAAAAGTTTTCCTAAACTGCTAAACCAGTGACATTACAGAATGTCTGCTATGTATTTCCTACTTGTAAGCAGGAATATATGTAAAGGTACTAAAGTCAACGAACAATTATGCGTTGAAAAGCGAATAATCCTAAGAGGTTGCTATTGAGCCACACTTTCCATAAAGAGATGATGCAGATGTCCATTTCCTAATATCTAAGCTCTTTAGAGTGAAGAGATGATTAAAGACTATCATCTGCTGTTACCTTGAACTGCTTTTTGGACCACTTCTGAAAAGAGCTACAGAGTACTGAAAGTATTTGAGAGACTAGGGAGGAAGACATATGTTTTGAAAGCTCCTTTACAGTCCATCCAATCAAATGCTCAAATGCCACATTTATCTGGATATATTACATTTCTGTTTTACTAGGCACAAAACGCATTTCTTTACTTTTAAAAATTCTATTTTTGCATTCTGATGAAGGACTTACTTAAGCCCCTTTAAAGGGCTTCTTGACCTTTTCATACAGCAATTAATTTGTCCTCCTATTCATAACTACGCAACCTTCTCGTGGCAGCTCTATGAAGTGAGCCAGAGGAACAGGTTTGTAATTTATTATTGCAATGTTTGTAATTTATCATTGCATTTGGATTTAGACTGTCTGAAACCAGGAGGCTCTCAAAGGCTATTCAAGATCCTTCTCTATAAAATTAGCTGATGATCTACTTAACACAGACCTCATGCCTCTGTTTCGCTCGCTCCAAAGTTTTTCCAAAGTTTTTCCAAAGTTTAAAAATCTCCAACCTGTTTTTATAATACTGCATTAAGCCTCATTGTATGTTTTTGTGCAAGAATACTGCATCATCTTCTTTAAACCAATGTTTCTCCCTGTATGGACATCAAATGTTTCTATATATCTAACTATAAATCTCATAAGAAATGAGAAAATGTACTTCAAGACTTAGCATACTGTAGGAAATATTAGCTTCCACTTTTTGGAGAATGAAGTTAATTGTGTCAATAAAAAGAACAGCATTGCTGTAAGCAGTACTTCAAAAATTAAAAGAAAAATCTAGAAAGAATTTAAGTTTGAGATTAATCATAAAGAAAAGCACTCATTTTAATTGATGCATGTCCAGCCACATACAACTGTGTTTCCTAGCCAGATTCTTAGAAATATCCCTAGTTATTCCTAGTGAGGTGAAGTTCTGACACATTCCACCCTCTTCCCTCTGTTCAGAAAACAGTTATTCAACAATGCTCTGCCTCCCAAAAGCTTATGCAGTATCATACCTTAAACTTAGCTGTTATTTGGTTTATAAGAGGAATGAATTCTTGAAGATCTTTTGCTTCACAGTCTTTGAGCATGTGTTCAGAGGCAGAAGGAATGAATGGAAGAACTTCTTCCTCTAGGCAAATAATCATGCGGTGAAGGAAGGTGCGGACACCACTTCTCAGGACTTCCTTCTGTAATGGACAACTGAGAGCTGGCAAAAATGTCTGTAAGCAGTCCAAATACACTTCAGAGCAGCCACACTGTTTTACAGTCTGCTTATTGCTGAAAGCCTTGCTGGTTCGGCTGTAAAAGCAATACCCCAAGTTTATTTAAGTTCACATTCCAATATGATGAAGAAGCAAAAACATCTAGAATAATGTATTCTTTGAAATCCATGTACTAAACTCAAATACATTTCATTAGATGGGAGGTAAATACCAGAAGTAACAATTATTTGTTAGGAAGTCACTATACATTGGTAGTTTTTGGAAATTTAAGTCTAAAAATTCACAAGCAACATATTGAAATAGCTCCATACAGTTCTTTGAGGAAGCCATTTCATGAGGAATGAGAAAGATCTCAGTTTGTTATCGACTGGACCGATATTCTCTTTACCTACATCTCTAACAGCCATTTCTAAGAGGACTTAACTCATTTCTGGGCTACTATGAAGAATTTGACAATCACTAAACTTTTTCAAGATCAATAAAGAACAGGCAGAAATTCAAACCCTCCTTACTAAAAATTCTTTCCACTTCCCTTTTACTTAAACCAAAAACAGTCAATAGTACCTACCTAGCAAACCCAACAGCATGATTCAAGCAGTCTGCCAGTGCCATCTGTCTGTCCTCGTCTTGTGCCATCATCAGTTTTTCTAATAACACTTTAAACTTCTCCATCAGTGGAGTCAACAAATTTCTCATTAGAACCTGCTTTCTTTCTGCAGAATATTCACTATTAACTATTAACACACCAGCCGTTTCATAAATGAACAGCTGATCATCGCTGCTTAAGAGAGCCTGGTAACCATTTTCCTAGAATGGAAGATAACAGGCATAAATTGTTAAAACATTCTTATGGAAGTCTTCTACTAATAAAAATTTAAGGGTACTACTTTTTCTTTAATCACTGCATAAACAGTCTCTACATAACTGTCACAACAGCTCTGATCT